ACATCACCACAACCAAACAAACAAAAACAAAAACAACAAAAAGACCCAGATAACTTGCAGGATAAATACCTGGAAATCTCAAAAACTCTCTCCTGAATATTGCTAAGAAACCAGCAGAGAGCTAAGTGCTGTGGCAGCCAGCCACTATAGTAAACATAGAAGTCAGACAATGGTAGCGCACACCTTTAATCCTGTCACTTGGGAGGCAGGGATCTGTCTGGATCTCTGTGAGTTCAAAGCCACACTGGGGAACAGAGCTAAGTGTGGTGACACAGGCCTTTAATTCCAGCATTAACCATAGAGGTCTGGAGGTCTGTACAGACAGACAGGAAGTAACAGAGCTGGGCAGGAAGAGGAAGTGATGTAGCTGGGCTGAGAGAGCCAATGAGATAACAGAACAGAACAGAAAGGCATATGGGTATGGGTAGACAGGAAGTAGCTCTCTTTGGAAGCAGCAGAGTTGATGAGGTGAGGTTAGCTTGTGGCATTTCCTATTTCTCTGATCTCTCAGGTTTTCACCTGTATATCTGGCTCCGTGCTTTTTATTTAATAAGACCATTTAGCAATCTGTCTACAGTTGGTTTTTTCCTTTTCCCAGAGCTGAAGGACACTTCCTATCAGTCTTTGGAGAGTGTCAACATGTACTCTCCAAGGGAAAGTTCTTGAGAATGACAGCCTTGACTTAACAGCTAACACTCTCCCGAGCTACCTGGGAGCCCAGACAGCTTGCAAAGGGAAACTCTTGGTTGTCAAAACATACCCTGGCTTTCCCTGGCTGGAGTTGTCAGCCAACGACTCTGCTTGAGCAGAGCAAGCTCCTGGAGCTCAGTGCTGATAAGTGATAAATGGCACAGGAGCCCAAGGAGCCATGGTGGCTGATCCTAGTCACTTCTGTCCCAAAGCCATAGACTATAGTGAAGTCCCCGGCCCCCTTCTGCAAATCATGGTCTGTGTTTTAAAACTTAGAAACAGTCAGAATGGCTATGAATCTGCTTGTCTTCCATATCCCGGTGACAAATCCTCCTGTACACTGAAAACTGTTTTTCCCCTCCCCTCCCTTCTCCTCCCCTCCTCTCTTCTCTCTTCTCTCTCTTCCTTACTTGTCTCTAAGATCCACAACAATCTCAGTGCCTCCTTTACCCCACCCAGGTGTCCTGTTTCCTGTTGTGACTGGTTTGGGCTGTTAGTGAGTTTGAATGAGCTGAATTTGCTGGTGTGGCTTTGAAGGTGGCTTCCAGGCTTCTTCCTGGAGTTTTGTGTTATAATCCTAACAACAATTCACCTTTGCTGAAGGTTTCCTGCCTGACAAACAGTTATGTGATTTATTTTATTGTTTAGCTGTTTTATTTTCTGATGTTTAGGTGGAATCTGGGCCGTGCTTCTAGTACAGAGGCAGATCCCAAGACTGGTTTTGCTCTGTGACAATTCTAAAAGGAATCCTGCCGTGGACCTGTTTCACACTTGGGAAAAATTGTTTTACAAGAGGCCATTTAGAAAGGGATCTCTTGCATTTGAACTCAGCTCCACCTGAGCCCAAACATCACTCGTTTAACCGAAGTGCTTTACTGATGGAGGCATCTTTCTGGACAATTCGGGAGCCAAGGCAGCAATCATGGAGGGGTGCTCCTTATTAGCTTGCCCCCAGGTTCATGTTCAGCTACCTTTCTTATATGGCTCAGGCCCATCTGCCACCTACAGACAGTTAGATAGATGGCTGGACCCTCCTTTACCAAGTAGCAATCAAGAAGATGCCCTGACAGACACACCCACAAGCCAGTCTGACGGAGGCACTTCCTCAACTGAAGTTCCCTCTTCCCAGGTATGTCAGGTTAACAACCAATATCAGCGATCACATCCAGCATCCTCTTTCGCCTTCCTTCCTAGTTGCCTTCCACTCTTAACCCCTGACCCCCAACCCTTCTGTCCTCCACCTCCTGGACACAGCTGCTCTCTGGAGACTCCATGTTCTAACCCCCAGCCCTCCCTCTGCTCTGTTGTTAGGCAGCCTACTGCCAGGCTTGGCCTCCGCCATCCCAAATCTGAAAGTCACATTTCCTCAAGTGTTTGGTTATGTTTAGTTGTATTTGATTTAACCAGTTCACACCAAAGTGTGAATAAGTACTAGTCCTTTGAAGTGCAATAGGAACTTGACATTTGTGTCAGTTCCATGGACTGGTTATGAATCTGCTCTCCAAAGAGAACCCTCAATTGGGCAATGATAACATCTCCTGGTTTCTTGTATAGCACACACCAAAATGGCCCCTTGAACATTTATCTATCTCTTCTCCAAATATATGCACACCTACATTTCCTTACAAATTCCACTGAGTTCATAGCCAGTCTTTCTTCATCTCATTATCACACAATTCTCACATACACAGTTTCCACTGCGGTGACATTTTTCCTTTGTTTCTGGCTGGATTCCCTCATCTCTGCAATACCTTGTCATGATACTCCTCTGCTGCCACAGCCTGAAGGTGCCTCAGACCAACCATCAGACCAGAGAGCTTTAATTCACTTAATTAAATAATAAACAGATGATTGAGCAGACTTCACCTTCAGCCCAGGCTCCCCCTAGAGAATAGCCCCTTTCAAAACTGCAGAGCAAGGCCTCTGTCCAGCTCAAGGAGATTCTCATTCCTTTCAGGCTCTGTTCCGGTGACTGTCAGATGTTCCCATCTGGAATCCATTCCCCACTTGCAAAGCCACCCAGATAAGGACCCCTGATGTGGCTAAGTCAGAATGGGATGATAAGGTCTGTACCTGTGGTGGCATTCCTGCTGGGCTACACCTGTCCTGTCCCCAGAGAGTAGCACCTAGCTCTAATCCATCTTTTTTTAACAAGACACCTTTTGTTTCTCTTGTTGCTCTCTATGTGAATCTTGTCTGAGAGTCTCCCAAGGATACAGAGGCCTATGCAAAACTTGGTTCAGGAAACACGGAAAACTGTGGTACATGATGAATCAAAGAATTTGAACTGGTGTTGTATTATTGGGAGCTTCTTTCAGGTTGTTTTGAACATATGGAAATCAACTAGCTAAACTGTAAATACCGAGAAAAATAAAAATGCCCTGGGTGAAGGGAAAGTTTTCAGTCCTTAGAGACTGGATCCACCTGCAGCCAAAAAAGGCTAAATTCATTCTTAAGGTGCCTCTGTCTGAGTTTTCTTTCCATGGCTCTGCTTGAACCCACACACCCGTGCCGCAACACTTTGCGACATTCGGTGCCCAATGTGTCATGTATCCAGCAAGAATCAACTCAAAGAGGAGTGTGTGAGGCTGGAGAGATGGGTCAGCAGTTAAAAGTTAAAAGCCTGGGCTACAGAGTGAGTTCCAGAAAAGGCACGAAGAAACAGAGAAACCCTGTCTTGAAAAAACAACAACAACAAAAAAGAAAAGTTAAAAGCACTGGTTGCTCTCCCAAAGAGCTGGGTTCGATTCCCAGCACCCACATGGCAGCTCATAACCATCTGTAACACTGGGATTCCAGGAACTCTGAGGCCTTCTTCTGATTCCCTCAGGCTTACACTCATATGCATAAAATAACTTTCTTTTCTTTTTTTTTTTTTTTGAGAAGAAGCTTGTGAAAGGCTGTCTTCTGGAGATGATATAGCCAACATACTCAAGTACTCAAGAAGTCACAGTGGCCGTGGTTACCTGCACAAAACCTGTACAAGATGGAGCCTGCGAACATTCCAGCATGGATGGGGTGGGCTCATAAAGCCTCACTCCTGGCTAAAGAGCTTTTGGCAGCCAAAGGCTGCAAGGGGAAGGCAAGTCATTTTATTCAGTAGTATAGCCACACATGGTGTGTGTGTGTGTGTGTGTGTGTGTGTGTGTGTGTGTGTGTGTGTGTGTGTGTGCAAGGGGAAGGCAAGTCATTTTATTCAGTAGTATAGCCACACATGGTGTGTGTGTGTGTGTGTGTGTGTGTGTGTGTGTGTGTGTGAATGAAATTGTCCAAGAATAAACTCTAAAAATTTAAATGTCAACCTGAATGCCCAGTGCCAACTAAAAGAAAAATAACTTGACATTTGACATTTCAGCAGCAACAACACAGCAGTACAGGAGCCATAGAACTCTGGGGTCCTTGGCTATGCTGGCTAGTACGGTTTGATTTTGAATTTGTCATTCTTTGACTGCTTACTGTGCCACCAAGTCGTAAGCTGAGGAATGGATTGTGGCTGTAGGGATGGATTAAAGCCACAGAACATCTTGTTTAGACTGAAATCCCAGCATCCAGCCCGGCAGCTGGCACAGGGGAACTTAGAGCATCTGTGGGGGCCTGGCTGAGCTTGGCTTTCCTCGGGGCACTGCTACTGCTTTTATTGTCGTACTCGGGGCTCCTAAAATAGAGCTGATAACAATGGAAGGAGAAAATGGCACCTCCATGTTACTTCTGCCTCCTCCTGAGTGCTCATGATAACACTATGCCTGGGTTGTCCTTGGCAAACCAGACTGGATCACTCTCCCTGTCATCATCGGGGTGCTGACTTTCCATCCTTACTCCATAGCTGCCTCTTGGTCTCTGGAGCACTGCCCTGAGTCCTTGTTCATAATTGTCCTTATGACTCCCAGAAATCTCAGTTCACAAGACATGTTACATCCACCTGGACTGTATCCTTGGTACACAGGGGAGAGCAAAGGGAAATGACCAGGGAATGAATGCCATTCTCCCACAGCTGCATGGATGCCAAGGGCATTACTTTCTCAAAGACAATGTTTGTGCACAAGCCTGGAAGTAATTGTATTTTGAGTCAAAAAAAAAAGTCAATGTTATTTAAAAAAAAAAAAAAAAAGCCTGAGTATGTACTATAATCAGAAGTTTTTCCTGGTCCTGCCCAGCCCCATGGTCCTGTAGCCACTTATAAGATAATCACTCAGAAGCTTATATTAATTATAACTGTTTGGCCATTAGGTCAGGCTTATTACTGACTAGCTCTTACACTTAAATTAACCTGTAATTCTTATCCATGTTTTGCCACATGTTCCAAGGCTTACCAGTCTGCTGGCATGTTGTTGTTCCTTTGGCAGCAACTGACATCTCCCCTCCCTCTGCCTTTCTTCTTCCTCCCTCTTTAGTTGGAATGTACCACCTAACCTTATTCTGCCTCACCATTGGTCAAACAGCTTTATTTATCAGCCAATCAGAGTAACACATATTCACAGCATACAGAAAGACATCCCACAGAGGGTGGTGAGTTAAAGTCTGCTCCTAAGAAGGAATTTGAGCTTGTGTGACAGAGATGCAGGTTAACCACCAACCACCCACAGGTGGGCAGAATACATTTGTGAAGGAAACACTCAAGAAGGATAATGACTTTGGACCAAAGAGACTGGGGACAGCTTCATGGGGAAGAGGGGTTTGGCATCACACTCTGGGGGGCTTTCAAAGTCGGGCTCGGGGCACTGACCAAAGTTTGGGAGCCCTGGACTGATGTGGTGACAGGAGATGTTCTGAGAGTTACAGGCAGAGCAGCCTGGAGATGTGAAAGAGCAGCAGGAAGACCATCTGAGGAGGTGACTCCACAGACTACTCCGCCCCAGGTGACGTGGACTTCAGAGGTGACATCACTTCAGCCGAAGAGGAACAGCCAATAGCAGCTGCATCATCAAGGGGGTTGGGTGGAGGGAGAGCTGTGCCAGCAAATGGCAGGTGCCCAGGACAGACACTCAGCTTGGATTGCAGCTGGATGAGGCGGCTCCCGAGTGCAAATGGGACCATTTGCCTCAGTCGCCCAGGTGATGTCCACCTTAACAACGGAAGTGGCCTCAGTGGAGGACAGCTTGGAAGACAACCCAAAAACACACAGCCCCTGGACTCTCCTGTCAGTGGTGGGGGTTCTGAGGCACCATCCAGACAGGAGTGATCTCCGCTGTTACAGCAGGCTACCAAGGGCACAGTTGCTAGAGACAAAGCTGCTAATCAGCTCTTGGGTTTCCAAATAGAGTGACGTGGAATTTTGTAACAGGCGTCCCATTGCTGCTGCCGTGTTATGTTATTGGCTCTTGGGGCATCCAGAAGGGCAGGTTAGGTTAAAACACAATTTATATGCCTACCAAGCAACGGGGCTGAGGAATTCTTGAAGGAAACTATTTTAGGAGATGAATTTTTGTAAAACCCAAAGACTTAAAGCCCCAAAAGGCCACACTCTTTTTTTTTTTTTTTTTGAATATGTGAACACAGTGTTCAACGATTTGCTATGACCTCTCACTATCATATCACAGGGACTTGACCTGTGTCAAAAATCACACTGTCTAAGCCAAACAGCTCCCAGTCCAAATCTAGAAGATAAGACACGGACAGGAGCCAACAACCAGGGCGAGTGCCTGGGGACAGCAGTGGAGCTGAGTGGAGGTTCCCAGGGCAGGAAATGGACGCTGTGTATTAGCTAACTCTAAAATAATGTGTTTGTCACTGTCTTCCAGACTTGTGTCTGTCTCTGGGGTACTGGAAACTCGTCCTTTGGGTCTCACCTGGGCCTTCCACGCCCTTGGCTCTAGCAGAGCTCTCCTGTTGTAAGGGAACGTGGGACTCTCCTCTCAGTCCCCAGGGACCCCACATTCCTGTCTGGACGCTGTGCCCTGTTAAGCTTCAGTGTTGCTTCTTTAATAGCATGATCCCTCCGAGCCTAGAAATGCTTGAAAAGAAATAAATACAACTTCATTTGTCTTAACAAGTATGCAGAAGTTGTCCCAGAGAGCTGGGTGCAAGAATCATACAGGGCAAGGATATGCCTCGGGAGGCTAGGCAGGAAACTTGCACGGAGGTTTCTAGAGAGAAATCCAGTCTTGGAGTCAGGGGAAAACAATTTTAATCTCACATGGACAAATAGTGTGAATCATCTCTTTCCAGGCCTCAGCTTGCCCATCTGTAAAATGGGGGAGACAAACCAGGTAACATATAAGAGCTCTTCCAGATGAAACAATCCATGATGCACAGTTTGACACCAAGGAGGATAATGTCTGTCTTGCTTTGTCTGGAGGTCTGTGGGCTGGAGTGGACTTACTCCAGGAGGGGCCGTGACACCTTCATCCATGCATAATGCTGTACTCGTCCATACAATGTGAACCAGCCCAAAGTCTCTCTGTCCTCCTCCTCCTCCTCTTCCTCCTCCTCTTCCTCCTCCTCCTCCTCCTCCTCCTCCTCCTTCTTCTTCTTCTTCT